GTGCTATTTGTTTAGACACGTGATACTGCACGCTGAACAGAGCGGGAAACTTCAGACGCGGATTTAAATGCAGCCGACAGAAAATCCTGCCGCGCCAGAGCGCCATTCACATAGTTTTCCATTAAATTACATTATATTTGTCCCGAATTGTTGTTAAAGTTTCATTTATAGAGCTATAATATAGTTTGCTCCGTTTTTTAAACACCGAACTTCAAACTCATCCATGCCAAATTGTTGATTCTTGAAGTAAACTTGTGTCCGTTTGGTGATTAAATAAACTGTTTTAGACCGCTGCTCGAGTTGAACGCGACGCGTCCGGAGTGTGTGTGATACCGGTGAGTTCTCCTAGACTCAGCCCTGCGCTTTTATTTTGATTAGATAATCATCAAGTGTTCAAGAATAGAAGCAGTTAAAGTGTGAGAGTATACATACAATATCCATATGTATATAATTTTAATGCTATAGCCTTTGTGTATATATTTAAAGATGTGCATCTTTAAGCATGACAGTTGAAATGAAATGGTAACACTTTAAAATAAGAGTCCAATTGTAGCATTAAGATTAATGAAAGCTGTGTAAGTATTGTTCCTTGTTAGAGTGTGTTAATTTCAACATTTACTATTACTATTATTATTTTTTTTTACTACTACTTACTAGTATGGTTCAGTACTGTTTTTGTTAATAAAGCACTATTTTAGTTTTTGTTCAGTATCAATTTTAAAACTATCGGTTAATTAATCGGTATCGGCCAGTGTGGTCCAACCTAGCTATCGGTATCGGCAAAATCCACTATCGGTCGACCTCTAATAGTAACTGTTAACCATGAGTAATTTAGATGCTTAAGGTGCTCATTTTCCCATGTAAGAAGTTCTGGCTCCATTCCATTGCGAGATTATGGAAATGAATTCCAACAGTTTTATTATATTCAGTTCCTGATGACACTGAATACCTCTTCCAAATGTTGCGAAGTTTTAATGGTGGTTACAAATGTGTTTTCTTTCCACAGGCCCACAGATGAAGAGGCGGAGCAACTGTTGCAGTTGATGACCAGTCGTCCACCAGCCACACCTGCAGGAGTGCGCTTTGTCTCCCTGTCCTTCTGCAAACTGCTGGCGTTCTCTACCCTCGTCAGGTACGCACGTTGACACTAATACTCCACCTATTTAGATAAATGATGATTTAAAGATTAAAATGGTCATATCATACATTAATTACATTTTTCTCAATGAGGTACAGTTGTAATGTGCCAAAAACAATTATAATTTAGTTTCACACTATTTTCCACTTCCATTTTAATCTCTGACATCAGAAATACAAGGATTTCAGTACAAACCATTTTAGCTGCTGATCATTTTGGACTTCTGAAACTCTGTTAAACTGTTACACTACAGTTCAAAAGATTGTAGTCAGTACAATTTTTTTATGGACAGTTAGTAATACTTTTAATTTAACAAGGAAGCTTTAAATTGATCAAAAGTGACTGTAAAGGCTTTTATGTTTTTACAGAGGGTTTGTAGTTCAAGTAAATGCTGTTCTTTTGAACTTTCATTTTCATCAAAGAATACTGAAAAAAAAATGCATCACGGTTTCCACAAAAAATTATTTTACTCAACATTGATAATAGTAAGAAATGTTTTTGGGCACCAAATCAGCATATTCAAATGATTTTCATGAAGGATCATGTGACACTAAAGACTGGAGTAATGGTTGCTGGAAAGTCAGTTTTGCCATCACAGGAATAAATTACATTTTAAAATATATTAAAATATAAAACAGTTATTTTAAATTGTAGTCATTTTTCACAGTATTGTTATTTTTGCTGCATTTCTGATCAAATAAATGTAGTCTTGGTGAACACAAGAGACTTCTTTGTAAAACATTAAAAAACATTATAGACCCCAAACTTGGACAATAGTGAATGTCAAAAGTTCGAGGAAAAGAATTATGTTGCATGACACGACCTCTTTAAATATGTAACATTAGCAAGCACTTTGTATTTTCAGTAAACATCAACATCAGCACTTTAATGTTCTGTCACTCGGTTATGTTTAATGCGAAGTTCAGTTCAGTTAAATTACTCTTCAATAGTTTTATTTACTCAAAGTCCTAAAACCCAGATGCGTCATCATGCCGTTGTTTCTTCTCTCTGCAGTACTCCAGAACAGGAGCAACTGATGGTAATGTGGCTCAGCTGGATGATAAAAGAGGAGGAGTATTTTGAAAGGTACAGAAGCCCTTCAAACCCATAACAACCAATAAATGCATTTTACAACATACTAAAAATGGCAGTTATTTTATGATCGGCGAGAAGGAAATCTTCTGGAGAAGTTTACAGGAAACAGAATTGTTCTGCTCATGTACCAAACGTCTGTTTATCCTTCAATCCAATTAGTTTTATTTCATAGAGAACTATTTAAGAAGTATTTGGAATTACATTTTGAATTATTTTCACATTCTTTGTGTCTGCAATTAGTATTCCTCTGAGGTCTGCCCAATCTGGAGCATTCAGACCCACTTCTGTTCTAGATATAGGCGGTATGAAAGCATAGGCTGGTGAGGCAATATGAATTTTAGCCATCAGTACAGGCTTTTTATTTTTACTTAAAGGCCACTTTTTTAGTAGACAAGAAAAAATAAAATGTGTTGTGCAAACATAAAACATTTGTGGTGAAATGTGTTAAATGTGGTCAGTATATTAGATAATTTTATGCTTATAAAAGGGAGAGGGTGAGAGCATGAATGATAAAATGAAAACAGATGGGGTTAAGCAGAGGTTAGGCAGTGACAGGCTTTTTCAATTTAATAACTAATAAGCAGCTGACGGGTTATAAGTCATATCTCCTGTAGCTTGTGCTCCTCGTGACCCACTGTGATTGGAGCGCTTATCCACACTCTATAAATTTAGAGATAAATGTCCATCGATGCACGGCTGAGCATGTTTGTGGTTAGTGTTATCATATATGTGAAGCCCACTGTAACCCTGGGGGTTGATATCTGTTTGTTCTATATAAAAGAGTGTTTAAATATGGACTCTTTTTAATGCATTTTCCCCCTCCTCTCTTTGTCTTCCCTCTATTTTGCTTTTCCGTCCCCCTCTTCTCCTCCCTCCTCTTATTCTTTCCAGTGCCGCTGGTGTCTCTGCCTCTTTTGGAGAGATGCTATTACTGGTTGCAATGTATTTCCATAGCAACCAGCTCAGTGCCATCATCGAGCTGGTTTGCTCCACTCTTGGGATGAAGGTGAGTTTAAGCAATCATTTGGTCAGCCAATGAATAAAACTAACAGTAAAGTCACTTCAGCACTAATCCGGGGAGATTCGTTTTCTAAATGACATTTGAGTTATAATTATTAACATTGGATGCCTGTCATTTCATATAATTTATTAAGATGGGAGTGTCTCTTGAATGTATTTGGATGTCATGGAAGTTTGTGCTGTGTATACATGTGTCACAAAATCCATTGAAATAAACTGGACTTCTATGTGAGTAATTATATTAGTATAGTTTGTTCAGTTTTTGCCAAAAGCCTGTTATGCTCACCAAAGTGGTATTTATTTGATCAAAAATACAGTAAAAACAGTAATATTGTGAAATGTTATTACAATTTAAATTAACGTTTTTTTATTATTGTTTTGATGTATTTTAAAATGTAATTTACTCCTTTGATGACAAAGCTGAATTCATTACTCCAGTCTTCAGTGTCACATGATCCTTCAGAAACCATTCTAGAATGCGGATTTGCTGTTCGAGAAACATTTCTTGTTATTATCAATGTTGAAAACAGTTGTGCTACTTAATATTTTCGTAGAAATGGTGATACATTCATTCAGGATCCTTTGATTAATAGAAAGTTGGAAAGAACAGCATTTGTTTGAAATGTAAATCTTTTGTTTGTAAATGTTTTTACTGTCCCTTTAAAACAACTTAATGTGTACTTTCTGGATTTCTGCATGTTTATTAAAAAAAACAAAAAAAAACTGTCCCCAAACTTTTGAACAATAGTGTATATGATTAGGGAATTCTATAATGAATGTGCACTAGGTAGTACATTCAGTGAGATTTGTCCTTTTAGTTAGAGTAATGAGTGTATAAATAAATGAGCGTTAAAAATACATACCACAATCGCAGATGTTTCTATCCCGGTGGGTTTAATTTCACAGAGGACCCCAAAGATAGACGATGAAAAAGTAGCTAATATGCTCTGTAATTTTTTACCAAAGTTGTGTGAGGACACACAGACTGGAATTTCACAGAGTACATCTGTGAAAGACATATTTCAAACAAACCCAAATGAATAGGAATTTTAGCTGTTTCAACTGACTTACCTAGACAGCCGCTTTGGATATTCTGAACATTTGATTTTAGCTTATAATAAGCAAACATGCTTTATAATTAAGATAATTAGTTTTTTATTAGACAAAATCAATTAATTCTAGTGCCTACAGCAATAGGTCAGTCTATCCATCAGTGGTTCACTCTAGAGGTATTGGGTTTTTGTTTGTTTCTCTATAAAAACAAGTCAAATTTAGAACCAAACAAAGGGGGTACTTAGTTCTGTTTATTTTGGGGCTTAAATGCCAACATTGGTTAAATTCCAGAATTAGTCCTCTAGGTGTAAACATCCATTATACTTGGCTTGCACTGTAAAAGTCACAGAAGAGAGGGTGTTAATTGGTGGATTTATTGATTGTTAGTGTCTAGGAACATGCACATCCCAGAGAAGGCTAAAGTACGTCTGTGTAATATGTAATTGCCCTTAGTGGAGTCGTACGTTATTGACGTGGTACAGATAGATGAGCCATGGAGGGTTTGTTTAGCCAGAATGATTCACTTTCGGCGTAAAAAAAAAAAACTTAATATTTTGTCGAAATTTGTTTTTGAAGTTTCTAAACCTTGCACAGAGTTTAATCTGGTTGAGAACTGACTTAAACTCCTTATCCTTCCACAGATCGCCATCAAACCCAGCTCACTGAGCAAAATGAAGACCATTTTCACTCAGGAAATCTTCACAGAACAGGTGCCTCTTTCTTTACACTGGATTGATGGTGTTTTAATGCAAAACAGTCGTTAGCCTCTTCTAATAAGAGCAATGATTTTGTAAAAATAATTGTGTGCTTCTGAGTTTGTGCAATTTATTTGACATATTGCAATAACTGTGTAGGCACCATATCAAACATCTTAATTACTAACAGCCTGTCATATTATTACATGCACTATTATAGATATCCTGTCCTAGCAGATAACTTTGAGAACTGCATGCTTGCCATCTGTTGAACATGGCAGTCTAACGAATTGAAACAAAACACTTTTTGTCATTATGGATAAGACATCTGTTGAATATCTTAAATGTAAATGTAGCTGCACAATTATGGCATCAAGACGGATATAGTGATAAGTGGATTTTTGTGTTGTCACAGGTGGTCACAGCACATGCTGTGCGAGTGGCCGTTACTAATAACCTCAGTGCCAACATCACAGGATTCCTCCCCATCCACTGCATATACCAGCTCCTGAGGAGCAGAGCCTTCACCAAACACAAAGTGTCCATAAAGGTAATCCTGAGGATACTCTTCTGACTGTGTTGTTTCTGTTCTGTTGGAGTTCTGTTGGAGTTCTGTTGTGTTGTGTTGTGTTCTGTTTTTTTTTTTTTGGTATCATATCAGCACTTTGGTGCTGTGTTCCATACTATTTTCTTGCATTCTCTGTTACTTTGTTATTCTATTTGATTCTATTCTTTTTGTTTCTTTGCTATTCTTTGAAAGCAAACTTCCAGGGGGGTGGGGGGCACTGAATGACTTAATAGCATTTAAATTAACACATTATTATTATTAATATATTTTTAAAAAATCTAACTCTAACATGAATTACAATTCTAAAAACTAAAGTCATTTCTTTTTCCCCTTCAATTACCAGTTTTTATTAAAGAACATACAGTTCTTGATTCTTCAGCAGAATAAATCATGATTATTAGTATGTCTACTCTCATTTTACTATAATAACAATAAAAAAACAGTTGAGAAACACTGTTATATTCTATTTATGTGTGCTCTATATCCTATATTCATTCTATGGTATATTATTTGTTTTCTGTTCAGTTCTATTGTTTTTTTTTCTACTGATCTTTTGTTTTGTGTTCTGTTCCCATCTACTTTATTTGTGTTTTTTTTCCAACTGTATTTTTTTTTTAATTTTCTGTTCTGTTATGTTGTATTTGTTCCATTCGGTTCTATTGTGTTCTGTTTTTTGTTACATCCTAGTTACATATGTTAGCTTGTTCTATCTTATTATATTTAATTTTGTTTTCTATTATTTTCTATCTATATATTCTATTCCGTTTTCTATTCTGTTGACCACCCATCTTCGGACACCTTGGCAATTGAAAACTTGGTAACCATGTATTAATGCATATAAGTCATTTTAACTGAACTTAGGACTTGTGGTGGTGCTTTTTTGGTCATTCAGTGTTTCTGTAAGAAAAATTAAAACTAAAACATGGTAACCATGTAGGAATTAAAAGGTATGAATGCATTATTTGTCATTCAATTGTTAATGAATATTAATCACGTTGTCTGCGTTCACTTGAACTGATTTGCTGAAATCAAAACAGGGACGATAATAGGTGAGCGCCAGCCAATGAGATTGCCGTTTGCACGTTAGTTCCGCCTACTAACAGAGAACCCGGCAGTTCTTAAAAGCTGAAGAATTCCAAAGGAACTGTTATTTTGACAGGAAAATACAACAAAGAATACATCTTACATGTAGAGTGTCAATTCTGCATGTTATGTAAGACTCTCTCGCTCTGTCTTTCTTTGCGTGTGTGTGAGACAAAGCGACGGCGAGTCACACTAGAGTTTACGGTACGCCAAATACAGGTGTGCTGCGCATCCATTCAGATGAACTGAAAAATAGCACAGATCGCTTGACAGAGAATGAAACTCTGAAGCGCTCTGTCAGTGTGTTCGGCAAGTGAAAATATATCTGTGCTAAACTTATACCAAAGACTATAGAAATACTTTGCTTATACTGAGCCTCCAACTCACACACTGGAGAGTAAAATCTGAGAATTTATTAGCCAGTGGCTAATATTAGATAAGATGCTCGTTAAATATCGCATGCGATTTATCGTGCAGCCCTACTTGGTTTCCTATTTCGTGTTTTATTCTATTCAGTTCTATTACGTTTGTTTTTTGTTTGCTTGTTTGTTTATTCTGTTCTTTTGTTTGTGTTCCGTTCGTTAAATTCTATTGTATTGTAATTCTGTTGTTGTTTTGTGGACTATTTTGTTTTGTTTTCTTTCCTATCCTGTTTTGTTTTTATGTTCTGTTAAAATCCGCTCCTTTCTAACTACACTACATTACTCTGTTGACTCTGTTCAGTGCTAGTATCGACTTGAATCCATTGGGTTCTATTATCTGTTTGACTGGCTGGCTCCTCTCCTGACTCATGGAAAGACACTCCATTGATTTAATTAAGGATGTGGTTTTTGAATGTGGTAGCGCATCGCCCGGCTGATCAGAATGTTTCCTCACAATTACATCGTCAGCCTTAAAGACTGGAATCTGCCTCCTCTAGAGTCAGTAAGCCATGTTATAGCTATGGTACGCCAAATACAGGTGTGCTGCGCATCCATTCAGATGAACTGAAAAATAGCACAGATCGCTTGACAGAGAATGAAACTCTGAAGCGCTCTGTCAGTGTGTTCGGCAAGTGAAAATATATCTGTGCTAAACTTATACCAAAGACTATAGAAATACTTTGCTTATACTGAGCCTCCAACTCACACACTGGAGATGACTCTGTTCAGTGCTAGTATCGACTTGAATCCATTGGGTTCTATTATCTGTTTGACTGGCTGGCTCCTCTCCTGACTCATGGAAAGACACTCCATTGATTTAATTAAGGATGTGGTTTTTGAATGTGGTAGCGCATCGCCCGGCTGATCAGAATGTTTCCTCACAATTACATCGTCAGCCTTAAAGACTGGAATCTGCCTCCTCTAGAGTCAGTAAGCCATGTTATAGCTATTGATTTGCTCAGCTGGAAAGATGATTTAATCACCCGAATCGCCCAGAGTGAAGATTTAGTCGCATATGCGAGTGATTTACTCGCGAGGGTTGTGTTGTTTTGTAATGCATTCTCATTTACTTGGTTTTAGGGCTGCACGATAAATCGCATGCGATATTCAATGCGCATCTTGTCAGAAAGCCGGTTCTGTAATCAGC